CGGGCGCCCAGGCGCTGCTGTGGGGCTGGGGAGGTCCTGGGAGCTCTCCCTGCCCTGTGGTTATCCCCAGCCACCCCCTGGGGGGTCCCGTGTTGCACGTCTCCTTGTGCCATGTGTCTTTCTCTGGTAGTTTCACAGGCCTGGGACGGGGCAGCCGAGGTACGGCCGGGGCCGGACGTGTGCTCTTGCTCCCTGACCGTCTCTTGCCCCCCATCCCCAGGCAGTACAAGGAGCAGAGCGAGGACCTGGTGGATCATCTCCCCAAGGAAGCCACCCCCTGGGGGGTCCCGTGTTGCACGTCTCCTTGTGCCATGTGTCTTTCTCTGGTAGTTTCACAGGCCTGGGACGGGGCAGCCGAGGTACGGCCGGGGCCGGACGTGTGCTCTTGCTCCCTGACCGTCTCTTGCCCCCCATCCCCAGGCAGTACAAGGAGCAGAGCGAGGACCTGGTGGATCATCTCCCCAAGGAGCGGGATGTGCTGCTGGAGTGGGAGTTCCAGAGGGTCACCATCTCCGGGGAGGAGACGTGTGGGGTGAGTCTGCCGGGCATCAGGGGCTGCCTGGGCGTGGGAACTGAGGGTTACGTGGGCTGCTCCTCCACTCTTGCAGAGACCCCAGGAGCCAGCCAGTCCCCTCTGGATCCGAGCCGGTGCCCCCAGAGGGGTCGGCTCATTCTCCCATACGCCAGCCCGTCCCTGTGACCTGGGGCCGATGGAAAGTGGCCTCCCCTGTGTCCCGTTCTCTGATCTCGTGGGCCCGCCAGTCCCTGCCCTCCCTGTGTCAGGTCCTCGCAGCAGGCGAAGGGGCGGGCTTGCCTGTGATCTAGCACGGCTAACGATAATGGCGAAGACGTGACCGCAACAGACCCTGGCACGGGCCAGCAGCCCGAGGACGTCCCCCGGGTCTCCGGCAGCCTTCTACTGGGTGCTGGCCTGCCCCCCGCCCCTTCCTCGCTGCCCTGTTAGTGCTAATCCTGTTGGCACAGGGATGCCTACCTGGGCTGCAGTGACTCCTTCACTCGTGGTACGGGGGTGCCCTGAGATGCCCCTGCCCTAGTCACCTGGCACCGTACTGCACCTGGTTTTACGGGCTGGGCCCCGGCAGCTTCCCCCAAACCTTCTCTTCTTGGGTGATGGGCAGCAGAGAACCCCTGGTCCTCTCCTCTCCTCTCCAGAATCTGTGAGCCCCTTGTGAGTTTCCCTTGATCTCCATCCAGGGGCCAGAAATCTCTGGGCCAAGTCCCCAGCTGGTGTAAATTGGCATGGCTCCACTGGCATCAACAGAGTGGTGCCAGTTTCCATCAGCTGAGGGTGAAGCCCGTTCTTCTGTCCCTGTCCCTGTCCCCCACCGGATCAAGGTGACCTCTGCAGATAGTCCTTTGTTCCCAGCACAGTTCTCCTGGCTAAAATAGCAACAGGTGCCCATCTTCCGGGCACCTGTCCTTGCGTGGCAGCTTGTGTGCAGCAGTGTGAATTGGCTAAGGAGCTGTCCAGGACCAGCACGTGGCCGGGAGACGGCCCAGCACATCGCTCCGGGACTAGTGCTGGCCCCGACTGCCATGGGCTTTGCCAGGGTGTGTTCCTGGGGGTTTTGTGTGCACGGGTGTAATTTAACCCTTTGCTGGCAGGTGGGGAACCTGACTATCAGAGAGTGACACTGACTAGAAAGAGAAACTGACTGATCCAGGGTGGGAAGAGCAAAGAGCAAACTGGTAGCAATTGTGAATGGGCAGGTGATGCTCCAACCCTGGTTGCTGGACCGGGGACACGCCCAGGCCCTTCGGGGGATCCGTGGCTCCTCCCGTCTCCGTGGCTGAGGCCCATAGCAGAGCTTGCCTTCAGGCTCCAGCCCCCTGTGTATCCTGCTGGCTCCACACCCCAGGCAGGGCAGGAGGCGGCACTGTGTCCCCGCTAGGGATGTCAAACGTGAACGGTTAAACAACGTGTTTAGCCAGTTAGCTGCCCATGCGGGAGGGGAGCTGCGTGGGTGCGGTGGGCCCGGCTGGACTGGAGCAGCCACGGATGGGGGCTGCTCCTATTGGGCCAGGCAGGGCTCGCCACATGGCTCAGCTCAGCTAGTCCCAGCCCAGCTCCTGAAATAGGGAGGCCAACGGCGTCTATCTAGGGTGCTTTTAGGGCCATTGTTACCATATAACCGAGTGCCTCCCTGTTCCTTGAATTGGGGTCATCATTCAAAATGATCTGGACAAATTGGAGAAATGGTCAGAGGTCAATAGGATGACGTTTAATAAAGACAAATGCAAAGTGCTCCACTTAGGAAGGAACAGTCCGTTTCACACATACAGAATGGGAAGCGACCGTCTGGGAAGGAGTACGGCAGAAAGGGATCTAGGGGTTATAGTGGCCCACGAGTTGAATATGAGTCAGCAGTGTGACGCTGTTGCAAAAAAAGCAAATATGATTCTGGGATGTATTAACAGGTGTGTTGTGAGCAAGACACGAGGAGTCATTCTGCCGCTCTACTCTGCGCTGGTTAGGCCTCAGTTGGAGTATTGTGTCCAGTTCTGGGCACCGCATTTCAAGAAAGATGTGGAGAAATTGGAGAGGGTCCAGAGAAGAGCAACAAGAATGATTAAAGGTCTAGAGAACATGAGCTAGGAGGGAAGGCTGAAAGAATTGGGTTTGTTTAGTTTAGAAAAGAGAAGATTGAGGGGGGACATGAGAGCAGTTTTCAGGTATGTAAAAGGGTGTCACAAGGAGGAGGGAGAAAACTTGTTCGTCTTGATCTCTGAGGACAGGACAAGAAGCAATGGGCTTAAACTGCAGCAAGGGAGGTTTAGGTTGGACATTAGGAAAAAGTTCCTACCTGTCAGGGTGGTCAAACACTGGAATAAATTGCCCAGGGAGGTTGTGGAATCCCCATCTCTGGAGATATTTAAGAGCAGGTTAGATAAATGTCTATCAGGGATGGTCTAGACAGTATTTGGTCCTGCCGTGGGGGCAGCGGACTGGACTTGCTGACCGCTCGAGGTCCCTTCCAGTCCTAGTGGTCCAGGTTTCCCTCTTTGCCATATTGATCCTCCTCCCTGCTTGGTGCAGGGAGATGCTGCTGTTGCAGTTGTAGAGACCTGGGCCTGGAAAGCCAAAGTCTCACAGGGGGTCTATGGAGTGGGCCGGAGCCAGGTTTCTCACATCCGAGTCTAACGCCTGAACTGCTGAGGTGCCCTTCCTAGGTCAGCTGATGGACAGTGATGGAGGGCCCGGGGACGAGGGAGTGCAGGGTTGTGGGAAGCTGGGGGCCTGTGACTGGATTCAGGAGCCGTCTGGTGAGAGCCCTGTTAGTGGCTGAAAAGGAGCCATGTTGCACTGAAATGTAGGTGCTCAGGTGCCACAGTGGTGAGTGGCTGAGGAGATCCCTAGGCTGGGAGATGAGGAGGTGACCGTTTGGGTCTGGCAGCTCTTCAGTCCTTGCCTGGGGCATGCCCATGTGCGCACGTGTGTGTGTGTGTCTGAGAGAGAGACACGTGTGTGTGAAAGAGAGCGGGGAGATCAGTGACATTAAAAGGGAACATTCAAGCCCGATGAAATACTCACTTGTGGTGTTAACCTGTGGAACTTACGGCTGCAGGATATTACTGAAGAAAAAAAACCCACTTCCAAAGCCCAAGTTTCCTGATCATTTTGATCCTTTACATGTGAGCAAGATTCCCTGTTCTCTCATCCATGGGGAAAAACCAGGCCCTACATTAATCCTTAAAGCAGCTCTCCTATAGGCTAGATCATCCCAGTCCTGTGCTCATCCATGGAAAGCTGCCCTAGTTCCAAGCCGTGGGCCCAACCCTGGCTAGAGCTGGTCTCCTCTTCCCCCTCCAGGTGCCTTTCACAGACCTGCTGGACGCAGCCAAGAGCGTGGTGAAGGCGCTGTTCATCCGGGAGAAATACATGGGGCTCTCCCTGCAGAGCTTCTGCAAGACCACTGGCCGCTTCCTGCAGGAGCTCTCCGTGAAGCCACTGGAGACCCGGATCTATGAGGAGATCCCGGAGACCCTCATGGCTGCTGGTGAGGCCAGAACTGCGGGGGGCGGAGAGCAGTGAGTGTGGGGGAAACCGCGGGATGCCCCAAGGGAAGGGGGCCGGGAGGGGAGCTGAGCAGGGCTTTGTGGAGGGAGGCCCAGTAAGCTGAAGAATACACTTGGGGGAGGAGGAGCCCCCCCCCCACCCCCCCCCCCCCCCCCCCCTCACCTCCCG